GCTCGGACCGGTCTCGGCTCGGCTCAGTTTTTTAAGGGTAGTGTAAACGGGGTAATAAATTGGCCTTAAGACCAGGTCATGGTTCTCAGCAGCACATCGGAGGCTCCCTCCATGGAGCTAGGTTACCTAGCCCAGTGGTGGTACAGGTAGTCACTTATTTCTTTTGAATCAATCTGACTGGATGATCTGGTTGAACTGTAAAGTGCCTTGAGATGACATGTGTTGTGAATTGGTGCTATAGAAATAAACTAAATAGAATTTAAACCATTGTGGTCAAAGTGGAAGTTGATCTTTATTTTAGAAGGCCAGATCAAAGCAACTATACAGAAAGGTTTCTTTCAACCAAGGCAGTCGACCAAAATAAAGCACCTTCTTTCCAGAGCACATTTAGAGACAGTGATTCAGGCCTTTATCACTACCACTTGGATTAGTGCATTGCACTTTATGGTGACTCCATCATTGCATCATTGGGCTCCCTGTGCATCTTAGGATTGGTTTGAAAGTTCTTTTGTTTTTTAAGTCTCTCTGAGCTGCTGAACCTTCATGCATCTCCCATTCAGCCTCTTCCTGTCAGCATGAAATCAAACAAAAGTTTAGGGGGGATTGTTGTTTTCTCTGGCAGCTGTATTCCTTCATTCTGCTGGGGGCCTTCAACACCCCTCTAGGAAACGACAGTGACATGTGGAGGGGCGTCATCGGGAGGAAAAGACCCCAGCCAGTCATGGATGGTGAATAATGAACGCTGTGTTCAAGCAGAAGGATGTCCATGGGTGCACCTGGAACCAGGACACCGGAGGCTGGAGGACGATGAATGACTTGAAGCGTTTTTTGCACCTTTAGCCGCATGTCTTGGAAACTGGGGTGAAGAGAGGGGCAGAGCTGTCCACCGACCACCACCTGATGATAAGTTGGATGTGCTGAATGAGGAGGAAGCCGAACAGACAGAAAGATAGGCCCAAGCGAGTAGTGGAGGAGCCCTCGGTCTGGGATCTGTTCACACCCCCCCTAGGAGAGCTCTTCTCAGATTGTGGGGAAGGCTGGTGATTAGCATCATTAGGTGGGATCTGTTCCTGGTGCATTAACTCTGTCACTGGTTCTGTTCATGAACCTTTATGGTCTCGATTTCTAGCCACAACCAAGAGGGGGTCTGGTTTGGGAACCAGAAGATCAGGTCCCTGCTTTTTGCAGATGGTTCTGCTGGCTCCCCGCTGCCGTGCACAGTGGCGGTTTGCAGCTGATTGTGAAGGGGCCGGGACGGGAATCAACTCCAAGGCCAAGTCTGAGCGCACGGTTCTGGTGCTTGACCAGAAAATGGTGGCTTATCCCCTTCAAGTAGCAGGAGAGTTCCTGCCTTCAGTAGAGAAGTTCAGTATCGTGGGATCCTGTTCATGACTTTGGGGAGAACAATAGATCGATAGACAGATCAGTGCGGCTGCTGCTATAATGTGGATGATGCCCCAGTCTGTCCTGGTGTAGAGGGAGCTAAGTGAAAAGGCAAAGTTCTTGATTTAGCTGATGGTCTACCTTCACCTCTGGTCATCAAACCTGGATCATAACTCAAAGAATGAGACCCTGAGAACAAGTGTCTGAAATGAGCTTCCTGTGAAGGAGATCTCTCCCTTAGAGAGAGAGGGAGGAGCTTGGTCATTTGAGAAAGGCTCAGAGTATATTCGCAGCTCCTTGCTCCTCCATCTGGTAAGTTTAGGTAGGATGGATATCTTTTTCTGATAGCTCCTGGACGCCTCCCTCTGAGGGGTTCCAGGCACGTCCCACCAGGAGGAGGTTCCAGGGAATGGCCAGGATCCAATGGAGGGAGCTCTGTCTCTCTGTCTCTCTGGAGCGCCTCAGGCTTCCCCCTGCAGAGTTGGTGGAGGAGTCTGGACAGGGGGAAATCTGGGACTCTGCTGAGACTGCTCCCCCCGCCACCCGGACGATTAGGGAGACCACGAGTACAAGTATGTTTGCAGGACTTGCTGCTGGGGAATTCACTCCTTTATCTATTGCTCCATCATATCAAGACGGAACGGCATATGGCTATAAATTCATGATGATCAGGTGGTGTCCTGAGCCAGTGCTTCTGTTTAGAACAGCTTACATGCTATTGGTCTGGGGCACTGAAATACATCAATATCTGAGATTAAAAATGACACCATGTGGAAGAGTGGGAAAGCTTTTAGAAGGACAGCTAGGAATCTTCAATCAGAGAAAAGAACTGATCCACCTTCTGCACTCACCTGCCTGGGTATGCAATAGAGTAGGACACAGACAGGAACCCTCCCAGGTTGTGGCCCAGGAGAATCATGGACTCCAAACCCACTTTGGCCCTCCACTCTTCCATAGACTCAACAAACTCAGTTTCTGCTTCCTGAGGGTCCGTAGAAAACACAGGCCTGGAGCTCTGACCAAAGCCCAGGAGGTCCAGGGCATAGACCGGGTGATGCTCTGCCAGGGCTTCCAGGTTCTGGGCCCAGAGACCCACTCCACCTCCAAACCCGTGCAGCAGAACTACAGGGGTTTTATCTTTAACACTGTCTTTGGTAAATGTCAGCGTCCACAAGGCGTTGCCACGGGATATGGGAATAAACTGTTTGGTGAATTCCACGCCGACACCTGACGACAACAAAACGAGGAGGAGAGGAAACAATGAAGAAACAGCAGAAGAACATAGACTCCAAACCAAGCCCTCAGAGGAGAGACCAAAACACCTTTCCTAGTTTTCTCAAGGCTGCAAAGATATAATAAATTAGATTCAAATGTTCCAAAGCTTTTTGCTGATTTTTATCATCATGAAACAGATCATCCAATCAGATTGGTTCAAAACCAGCTGATTGCATCGAATCAGTGACACTACAGGATTCTCTCCTCCTGGAAGAACAGATAGTGTCTCACTCTAAGCCTGTACACAGCGACAGTGGAGAGAAAAACTCCCTTTCAAAATGGAGTGTGAGTGGCAATCTGCCGAGGCTGATTGAGGTTCAAGGAGACAGAAGCAGACATAGAAATAGACAGCGTAAGCACCATAGCGGTTAGGGCGGCGAAAGCACCATAGCGGTTAGGGTAGCGTAAGCACAATAACGCAAAGATACCAACAGGACAAAGAGGAAGGACGAGGGGCTGAAGCAGCAGCGCCTAGGAACAGGAGTTAGATGGAGGGGCTACGACACAGCCACCGTCTCTGGAAGAGTCCTGATGCTGACTAAATGACCGGTAGAGACTGAGACAGAAA